CCTTGCTCATTCCCTGGCGGCAAGCAGCTTGGAGAGAAAGTAGCCTTGGCACGAATATTAGGCTGCAGTGAATTCCAAAAGTGTGGGTGCTGGAAGCTGTCAGCTAACTTCATTCCTAGTAGCGGGTTCTCTCTTGAGGGGAGATCTTAAGCAGCTCCCCTCCATGACTGCACAGCATCTGTGTGAGCTTCAGGCGTCAGGCTTCTACTTGATAAGCAGTGGCACTGCCTTCCCCCTCACAGGGTTCAGATTTGCAATTGAGGATGGAAATCTGTAAGAAAGTTTAAAATAAAACTTGGTTTATGTCCAATGAGTTTTGCTTTATTCTGAATGAGGTTAGACTGGCGAGTTGTCTTGCCCCCTAATGGGCTTTTGAATGCTGGATTTCACTCCTGCATATGAAACACAGCATTGGTCCTTTCAGGAGAAAGTGCTGGTGTCCTTGGTATTCTGTGTCTCTGCCTCCCTTTTATGCTTTCTGGTTATTTATATTTTAGTTGAAACTTAAAATATCTTCTAAAATAACCTGTATCTGGAATTTAAATATCTCTAAACTTTGTAAGTAAAATTCTGTCATTTATTGTTTCTGCAGACTCATACTTATTGTTGTCTTTTTGTATTTTATCTTTTTTAAATATATTTTATCTTTTTTAAAATATATTTTATTGATTTCTTAAAGAGAGGAAGGGAGAGGGATAGAGAGTTAGAAACATCGATGAGAGAGAAACATCAATCAGCTGCCTCCTGCACACTCCCTACTGGGGATGTGCCCTCAACCAAGGTAGGTGCCCTTGACCGGAATCGAACCTGGGACCTTTCAGTCTGCAGGCCAACGCTCTATCCACCGAGCCAAACCGGTCAGGGCTGTATTTTATCTTTTTTGATTGTCTAATTCCCTGTGTTTTTATTTGTGAAAGGTTTTTGAAGTTGGTTATTCACATTTTGTTGTTTGAGGTACCTGGAGATACTACCACCTTAGGAATTCTTTGAACTAAAAAATAATTTTCTCAGGGTTTGATTTTTGGCTTTGTTTTGCTTGCTACTTGTCCTTAAACTCATATTAGTGTGTGTATAAGATCAGGAATTCTCAACAAATGTGGTTTTTTTTTCTTCCTTTTCCCCTCTCCAACCAATGCTAAGCTGAGGCCGGCAAAGTTTCCACTGTATTTAGGACCAAAGCAGTAGCCCTTCCGTGCTTTACATGCATGGCCTGTTCAAACCCAAGCTATAGCTCATGGTGCTCCAAGAGTATTCATGTATCTGCATCACCAACATCGCCTGGGAGCTTGGTAGAAATACAAATTCAAGGGCCCCATCCCAGACCTACTGCATCAGAAACTCTGAGGTGGGGCCCAGTTATCTGTGCTTTTAAAAGCCTTCTGGGTATTCAGATATGTGTTCAAGTTTGAGAATCACTATTCTAGTCTAGATCATCCGGGATTGACAAATGCCTCAAAGCAAATAATAATTTCAGTGCTTGCTTATAAATCTTGATTCAATCTCCTTCATAATTTCCTGTTTCTAAGAAGTTCCCTTACAAAAGCATCAACTCAGCCATGTATTCAAGAATCAGATAGAGAGAAGGAGAGAGAGAGAGAGAGACAGAGAGAGAGAGAGAGGGAGAGAGAGAGAACATAAATGACTGGTAGATGGTACATAACCACAAATAAATATGTACCCATATCTGTATGTGTATGCATACCTACATTTATTATGCACAGTCTGGAAAGATGAAAGATATATATCAAATGACCTCAGGAATTATCTCGGTGGAGTAGAGAAAGGTCAAGGGAAGATTTTTGGAGTGTTTATTATTCAATTTCAAAATGTATGTGTAATTGAAAAATATATATGGCAAGAATCATTTCATGTTTATAAAACAAAAACATATTTTCATTAAAAAACAAAAGAGAATGTATAGTATGCTTCTAAAATGCGTAGCAAGATAAGAACAGTAATTTTCTCTGTACATAGACCTTCAAAGCCTTCAGTGGGTTTTAGAAATGAGTGCTATTTCCATTCATATTTGTACAGAAAGCACTAGCACTTTGACTCTTGCTCTACAATTGCCTCCACATAGAATATTCAGCAAGCCTGCATGTGTGACGCTCATTCTTCAGGAAACCGGGCCCTTTAAATGCTAAATCAAGCAAGCCTATTCTGCACTTTAAAATGTTAATGATATCTTTTGTCAGATGAAATTATACATGGAAGCGTCTTAGAAACTGTAAATCACTGTACAAGTTTGAAGGATCTAATGTTGCTAGTGTAGGTATTATTATTATTGTTTTTACTAAAATATTTTTTTTCTGAATACATGAACCATTGGTGGAATGCACTTCGCATCCCCTGGGCGCTGGAATTTTTTCTCTGCCCTCTTTTTTCTCTGCATATTAAAATATCATGTGACACGCTGTTTTGTGGGTGGCTGGACAGGGGGGACATTCTATCTTTCAGAATGCCTTGCAGCAGTTCATGCATTATATTCATAAGCATGATCTTTAATTTAATTCTTGTGACAAGTGCAGTGAAGGGTAAAATCAGGCAGTCATAATTTTGACTTTGCCATCACTCAAATGAGCTTAGCTTAGTGACTGGCCAGCTTTAATTTAAAAGAAAGTGGAAATAGAGAAAAGCAGTGTTTTCATGAAGAAAATCTTTATTTTATCCTCTCCTTAAAGTAATAAGAATTTAAGCAAAATGTAATTTTTGTGCTGAAAATTAGAATATAATAAAAGCCTATGTCACCATCTTGCTTTAATTATACTCTCTGTGCTGCTTGGTTCTGGGCCATTCTGAACCATCCTCCTGCTGCGAATTAGCAGAAGGACTCAACAGTCTATTTCATTTTCAGTAGTGCTCTCCACACTTACCCATTAAACAGCTGTGGTTATGACCATAGAGCCCCGTTTCAGAGTCAATTCTGGGATTTAAGTGGGGCTTAGAGAAAGTGAGTCCTGAGGGATTTTTCATAGTGACAAAGGCTGCACCTGCCTGAATAGAATAATCTTAGGTCCATCCTGTGTGACCCAGAATGCTCCTGGCCTATGCCTGTTGTCCTTGGCATATTATTAGCAATGCTTGCTTTCACTCTTAGAAGTGTCCTGATTTAGGCGATAACATGAATCCTCCTACCCATTGAGAAACAATTCAGCATGAGTGTGGACAGAGCTCTTGATTGTCCAACTTATTCTTCCTACTTGGGCAGTTGTTGTTGTTTTGACTATGTTTTATTGACTTTTGTTTTAGAAAGAGGGGAAGAGAGAAGGATAGAGAGAAATAACAATGAGAGAGCCCTAGCTGGTTGGACTCAGTAGATAAGAGCGTCAGCCTGTGGACTGAAGGGTCCTGGGTTAAATTCTGGTCAAGGGTATATGCCTGAGTTATGGTTTGATCCCCAGTAGGGGGTATACAGGAGGCAACCAATGATTCTCTCTCATTGTTGATGTTTCTCTCTCTCTCTCCCTCTCTCTCTGAAATCAATAAAAATATATTTAAAAAAAGGAATATCAATGAGAGAGAAACATTGATTGGCTGCCTCCTACATGCCCCAGACTAAGTGCCCTGATCTGGAATTGAACCAGTGACCTCTTGATTCATAGGTTGACACTCAACCACTGAACTACATTGGCCAGGCCCCTGGAAGGTGTTTTGTTTTTTTGTTTTTTTTTTAGTTTTTTTTTACCTAAACCTCAGTTTTTTCATATTAAATAAAGGAAAAAACACTGATTTTGTGGGACTATGGGGAGATTTAAAGAGGATAATATATGGAAACTACCTGCCAGTAAGTCAAAATGTATTGAATTTGCAAAAGGAAGAGTTCCCACCAAAAACTCACCT